CAGAAAGCCCCCTCTGAAGCTGGTCTCACCCCAATCCCACATCCACCCCAGAAAGGCCCCCTTGAAGCCAGTTCCACCCCACTCTTATACCCACCCCACCCGGAAAGAACCCCTGAAGCTAGGCCAACCCCAACGCCCCACCCCCAAAGCCCAGCATGAATGTGAGACTCCGTTCCAGGGAACAGAGTCTCTCCTTGCCAGAGCCTTGTCCTGGTCGCACGCAGCAGCCTCAAACATGCATATCCAAACTAAACTCACTGTGTGGAGTCCACACCGACTCACGGTGACCCTACGGGTCAGGGCAGACCTGCCCCTGTAGGTTTCTGAAGCTGCACCTCCTTAGGGAAGCAGAAGACCTCGTCTTTCTCCCGAGGAACCCTGGGTGGTTTCAAACTGTTGGCCTCACGGTGAGCAGCCCAACCTGTAGCCCTCCCACCAGGGCTCCTCGAGGCTCCCCATCCTCCCCTCGTGAGTACCGCCTCCCCATCTGTGCGGAATCCATACAGCACTTGTGTCAGCCCACCTATTACTGTCTGGAATGTCCGCTCTGGCGAGTAGAGCTGGAATGTGTGTCTGCGTGGCAGTGCCCTCCATGGGGTTCCACACCGACTTTTCAGAACCAGATTGCCACGCTCCTAGCTGGCCTCCAGCCTCCAGCTGGGCTGCCACACGCACTGCTGACTGGCACTCTGCTTGGGGCCCTGTGCCACAGGTCTGGTCGTTTAGAAACGGGTTTCCTTACATGGTCTCCCTCCCAAGGAAGCTATTTCTCTGAAAAGGGAACGAGATCATGACTGGAAAGGAGAACCCCGTTTTACGCAGTGGAAAAGACAGCAGTAAGGAACCGTGCCAGAGGACGGTCCTCTCCCTAGAATGGACCGGGGAAGTAGCGAGAACCCTAGGGGAGTCGGGAGGGGCGGGGGATGGCACTGAAGGGCGCTGGGACACTGGTGGAATGGCAGCCACTGGCCAGGAGTTAGGGGCCGAGTCACTTCCTCGCAAATGGCACAATGACAGGAATCCATCCTGGGATGACCCCCAGTGTCCACTCGTCTGTGTCCTATCTCCTGGGTGCGTGGCCGAAGAGATGGCCTCAGCTCTGCCCCTTCGCCACCTGCAGAAAGGCCCCCTTCCCCCTCCTCCACACGGCCATGGCTGGGCTCTGATGAAACATAAATGATAATAGGTGGGGGGTGGGGC